AACCCATAATAATGAGATAATAAAGATAACTATCTTAAAAACACCTGACTACATCAAAAAAGAATTACATCATATTTTCTTTCAAAATCCTGCATATATTTATCTGTAAACCGAAATAAATTGATGATTAGGTTCCCAAAAATTGAAAACATGGCGATCTAACGAAGGATTTGTAACGTCGGTCGTCCATTGCGCCTATAGGTTGTTCAACCCAACGATTTTAACAATTCCGAAATCAATGCGGTGTTTCTTAAATGAACATACCACAAAACTTATATATCGATCAAGAACTTTGATATCTTTCTTCGCTCTCTCTTTAAACCCAAATGATGAATTAATAACACTAGGTCATTGACTATAACGCATGTATAAGCTATCATTGGCTTTACCAAATGAATGTTCAAACCATTTTGTCTAAGAAGATTCTAATATTTAATTTCGTAGTTAGTAACATATATAATTTATACTGCTTGATAGGTTCAATGCTCCACTAAAAGAAAAGAAAATAAAGTCTTTAATATTTATAAATATGTCAATAATTGAATAATCAAAATGAATCATTTGATACCTCATCATTGCCACCTAGTCTTTCATTATGACATGCAACTTCTTGAAAAGTATCGTTATTAATAGTAAATTGAAAATCATGACTACGTAAAAATACTTGTTGATTATTACAATCAGTATTACCAAGATTAATAATATCATTCGATTTCAAATATCCTTGATAATTTTCTAATTTACTATCGCAATTATTCAACTTCCATATAGTATTTCCATACTTAAATAGGCCACAATTTACTAGAGTAATTAAGATATCAATATTATTGAACCGTTTTGTTAAAAAAAATTGATAATTGGAATTTAAGGTAATGGTTACCTTCTAAGTGTTCAGTTACTGGAGATTTATAATTATTACTGACGAATTGAAGTTTTTGGTTATAATTAGGAATTCCAAGGAAATTTCCAGAATTATTGTGTCGTAAATATATAGTAGTATCGATGTATGGATCTAGTTCTTTACCGCTCGTAAATGTAATTTTCCATAAAGCATCCAAATCAAACAAATCATTAACAAAAACCTATATTTATAAATATTTTAAAAAAATTTGTCCAACACAACAAAACATTATAAAAACATACCAATTGAGTCTTGCTTCCTGTCGTATAACATAATTTATTATTTGAACTTAAATATTTTCTGTAGCAACGTGTTTAAAAGCCACAATTGAATTATTTCTAATTAAATTTGATTCATCTATAACGAATTTCCCAAATACTTCAATTAATTCACTTGTTGAGTTGACATTTTTCATTATCTTATAAGATTCACAAGTGATAAATAAAGATAATTCTTTTGCTCTTGTAAATTAATTTCAGCATCACGACAAAGTCTACGAAATTTAGTGATAAATTTTGAGGATTCGCCACCTTCTCTATCAAGAATAAATTTTAATAATCGTAACTTTATTTTATTCGTATTTTTGAACACCATAAAGAAGATGTCCTCTTTAAGTGCTTTACGTAGTTTTTCAAAACTATCGATTTTATTTGGGAG